CTCTGAGTAGTTTTCATGTCTATCAAATACTTAGCAAGCAAACCAAGGCTGATTATTAATCATTATGTCAAATAGAACATTCCATGTAATGTTTATGATAGCAAGAGTATATTTTCATTTTATTTCTTTATTACAGATACTTCTACTCTGTCCAGCTCAAGCTGAGTCATGGCAGAAATAGTCATGTAAACTCATTTTCATTTCTAGAAAATTGTGGTTTATTATGTTTATATGCTATAGGTAAAGGAGGTAAACTCATACCCCTAAGAAGTTTTGCAATTTTCATCTACCCCAAAAATATCATTAGACTTAAATTTCCATGGAAGTTGCAGCTGAATTACAGACAGATCAGACTAAAATAATTTTTCATTCTACGATGTTCTAATTCTGATTTGGATTCAATATGGGTATCAAATTTATTGTCTAACTTTACTTAACCTTTGAAAAATTTTAAAATTTTAAAATCAGAATTAATCCATGCTAAAGGCAAAAAGCTATCATGGAAGGAGGAGCATTAAATTTATATAATAAATATTTCTTATTCGATACCAAACAAGATACTCAAATTTTATAGCTATTTCAGATTGTTTATTCAAAGCATAGAAGGAGCCTGGAAATTTCTTTTTGGAACCAGAACAGATTAATGTTCATCTGATCCAAATATATCATGCAGGTTTCCTTCCTCTCCCTACATATTCTTCTCCCCTGGTGTCAGGCACAAAAGATGAGGTCCTCACATGAAGGTTGAAATAAACTGATAAATTAAAACTGAAATAAACATTGCTAAAGCCAGGAATCTTCTCCAGTAGCTGTGGACATCTGATTAGACTTAGATAAGGGTCAATTAAGTTCAACTCAAAGGGAATTGGACTTAGTTGCTTGTGGCTACACAATGACTCTATGCTGATTGTCCTTTTCTCTCCAGCCCCAGGTTCTGCCATTTCTTCTCCTACACCTGGGAAAGGGAGGATGGAAAAGGATTCTGCTTTTCTATTGTAATACAGATTGCTAGGCAGTAGACCCCATGTGTCTGGTGAACCATCAAAAATGTATCACAAGAGAAAAATGTGGTTGGCCAATATAGTTGATTCCATTCTCTTCTGTTAACATTTATATTTTCAACTTTCAGTTCTTTTGATGACTCTTAAAGTTTTCGAAACATTTTATTTTTTCTCCATGAAAGCTATATCAATGAGCAATCATTTAATTGGATTCACAGGTTCATGTTGAATTTATAATATTGATAGTCCTATTGATAGTCCTCAATTTATGATCACAACTAGGAGCAGAATATTCCCTTGTTAAGCAAGGTGGCGTTAAGTGTGTCACATTCAGTTTTACAACATTTTTTCCATGGTTGTTAATTGAATTTTGCCATGGTTGTCAAGTAGATCACTGCATTTATTAAGTGAATTGTGTATTTGAAAAGTGAATCCAGCTTCCCCTATTAACATTGCTTGTCAGAAACCAGCTTGAAAGGCATGAATGACACAAACCTGGGCATTGCAACTGTTGTACATACATGCTGGTTGCCAAGCACTCAAATTTGGATTATATGACCATTGGGATGCTGCAACAGACGTCAGAACTGGTTTTACTTACTGTAACTTTTAAATTGTTGTTGTAAGTTGGAATGCTCACCAAACAAATGGTCATGAGAGCTCCCTTTACAATATTATGTAGGAACAATCCTAATATTTGTTTAGTAAATGATCAAAGTTTAAAATTTATGTTTTGAAGTAAAATCTTTTAATATGTATGATAATTGTAAAAAAAATAATTTTAACTTATTAACAGATGACAGTTAACCTGCTCTCTCCACAGCATTTGAACGATGGAAATTAACATTGTACAAATCATGTCTTTATGAACAGAGCATTGCCCAATTCAATAAGATACTATCTCCTCAATTTCATTTCCTTGTTTTTTTTATCCAAGTCAAGTTGATACAGTTTCATTATCAACAAATGAAACAGATAAAAATCTGTCTAGCAAGTTTCTGTATTAAAATTTATAGTGCTTTTTCAGACATACATCCTTCCCACATTTTTCAACAATAAAAATGTCCTTTAGCTAGTAATTGTTGAATACAAGTAGCAATCCAAATTAATAGGGGGTTGAGGAATGAGTTTAGATTGTGCTATGTAAAGAAATTCCAAATGGTATAATTTCCATGGAGAAAGCATGGAATCAAGATTTGGTAACAAATCTCTCTATAAGTAGAAGACAATATACTGTATGCAGTTCAGGGTCGAATGTAGAATCCTTGGTGCACTCTGAGCTAGGTTGTTTGTATGCAGACAACCAAGCAGGAAAGAATTCCCTAGTTAAGGAATTGCTAAGGAGACAAACACAGAGAAGCAACCAAGCAGAACCAAGGAACTGCAAAAAAGAAGAGACACCCCCAAAACTTTGGCAGGGCAAGCTAATCCATATAAATGCAAAGTAATCACTAGCACTAATAATGTTATCTATCTGGGTAATGAAACATCTGCAAGCAAGCAAGCTCAAAGAAGAGAGACCTTATCTCTCCCTCCTCCCTCTCTTAGTTTGGCTTAATAAAATTTTATCAGGAATATTATTGTTTCTACTTGGGGTATGGAGGTAAAAACCAGAGATGTTTTCTTAGGAAAATAAAAATGAGGTAGTAACATTCCCCTTGTAGAAAATAATATCATGTTGACAAAATTACTACAAACACAAGGAAATGATGCTTACATTGCATAATGTGCTAATTTTGCACTTCTGAGGATAGATATTGAAGTTTTTGGGATTGCTATATCATCTCTGAAAATTTTCAGACTTTTTTCAAAATAAGGCAAAGACAGCTTAATTCCAATTTTTAACATTAGAAATCTTTGCTTAAGGCAGAAATATTTTATAAATGTTCAGCATGCAAGTGGTAGGGCATCCAACAATGTAAATGACAGAAAGGACTTCCAATTTTAAGAAAGCATGGTGCAAAAGGTTTCTGCCTTCACATAGATTGGCAATTGTAGAGCAGGGCTCATACATTGTTAACACCATGACTGTGAATATGGATTTTATAGTATATTTGAAATGTATTTAAGTATTTAACTAGTGTAGGAAGTTAAAACCCATTCCTCTCCTAGAAAAATGAAATATCCTGGGAAATGTTGAAAAGACAGAATATATTTCCCTGGATGTGAAAAGGAAAAAAAAACATGTTTTAAAGACAGAATAGTTCCCTGTAGCTTCCTGCCCCCCCCCTTTGTCAATGGGCCATTAAGATGCTCAAGCCAGTCCCTTTACATAATAAAGAGTTCTCCCCTTCAGCTCCAGGGTGATGGGATTAAGGCATGATTAGCCTTTAGCCACTCACCACATGGTATCTGAGAGTTCAACCAAACCTGAATTCAGAACACAGCCTAGAGAGTTGCCCCTGCATGGCACCATGGGAGTCTGACAACTAATCAGAATACATTTCTTACACAGGAACAGGAAACAGAGAGGTGGGGCTGCAAGCCCCTCCTTGGCCCTTCTCTTCTTCTACACCCAACATTGAAGCATGTGAT